CGCCACCCTCCCCCGGGCCCTACCTGGGCAGTCATGTCCCGCCACCCGCCCCCGGGCCCTACCTGGGCAGTCATGTCCCGCCACCCTCCCCGGGCCCTACCTGGGCAGTCATGTCCCGCCACCCTCCCATGCTGCGCCCGGTCCCGTCCGGACCCTGCGCCCCCCGCCCGCCCGGGGGCGGGGCCAGAGCGCGGGGGCGGGGCCGACTCCTTCCCATTGGCCACCCCGGGGGCGAGGCTGGAGCTCGGGCACAGGGACACAGCTCGGGGGCGGGGCCAGGGCCGGGGGCGTGTCCGGCCCCTCCCATTGGCAGTCCTGGCCCGGGAAGGCGGTGCCGACGCTCAGGGGAAAATAAGAATTTTGGCGCCCGTGGTCCCATTGGTCAGCATCGCGGAGCGCCGGCGCGGATCCTCCCGCGATTGGCTGACAGGGCGGCGCGTCAGCGCGGGGCCTCCTCCGATTGGCCGGCGCTGGCGCGGCGGAGCGGCGCGCGCGGGCTCTGGCCGTCAGTCCGCCATGAACTGCCTGACGGTGCCCGGCGTCCACCCCGGCTCGCCCAGCCGGCCCCGCGGGCAGATACAGGTACGGCACCGCCCGGGCACCGCGCTGGGGGGCACCGACAGGTACCATCCCAGGGCACCGGGCTGGGGAGGCTGCGAGGCCGGGGGCCGCACCGGCACCGGGCGGGGCCGGGGCTGTCCGATGACCCGCTGTTCTGCCCCCAGGTGATCTTCGGGCCGATGTTCTCTGGGAAGAGGTAGGCCCGGGGCGGGGGACGCGGGGCGAGGCCCGGGGCGGGGGGCGAGGGGAGGGTCGGTACCGGTGCCCGCTGACACAGTGTCTCGTAGCACGGAGCTCATGCGGCGGGTGCGGCGGTTCCAGCTTGCCCAGTACCGATGCCTGCTGGTGAAGTACGCCAAGGACACGCGCTACAGCTCCTCCGGGGTCTCCACACACGACAAGTCAGTTCCTGGGGCAGGAGGCCCACCCCCCCTCCGCGGGGATGCCTGGCCTGCCCGGTTCACCCCCTCCCTGCCCGCAGGAGCACCATGGAAGCTGTGCCCGCCGGGCTCCTCCAGGATGTGTACCAGGAGGCGCTGGGCGCCGCCGTCATCGGCATCGACGAGGGCCAGTTCGTAAGTACACAGCTGGAGGGGGTTCAGGGTGCTCTGGGGAACACAGGCTCCCCAGGACACCCTGTGCAGACTAAGGCCTGAGTCCTCTGTAGGAAGAGATGGAAAGAAATGCCCTGGGGCAGTTTGATCCAGCTGGACTGTGTAGTCAAACCCTCCCTCCCTGTAGTCCCCGATGGCATGGGACTGGAGTCCATTCTAAAGACAGGGCATGTGGCTCTGGTTTTCCTTGTTCCCGGTGCTGCTGTCTGGGTATGCGCTGCAGGATCCAGAGCCAAGAGCTGCCCCTGCTCCCTCCTAATGCTGTGCCTGTGCCCCCTCCAGTTCCCAGATATTGTGGAGTTCTGCGAGACAATGGCCAACACCGGGAAAACCGTCATCGTTGCTGCTCTGGATGGGACTTTCCAGAGAAAGGTATAACACTCATTTTGGTACAGCAGCTGCTTTGGGACCCTCACAGAACCCGCCCAACAGCACCTCCTACACTGTTTTGCACAGGCCTTCGGGAGCATCCTGAACCTCGTGCCGCTGGCGGAGAGCGTGGTGAAGCTGAATGCCGTGTGCATGGAGTGCTTCCGGGAGGCCTCCTACACCAAGAGGCTGGGAGCAGAGCGGGAGGTGAGTTCCCTTGGAACAGAAACTGCTTCACCTTTCCAGTCCTGCTGGTGCAGAGGGATCCCCTCAGGGAAGCTGGACTCTGCAGTCACCCTCTGAATTTTCCTGCCAGGTTGAAGTGATTGGAGGAGCTGACAAGTACCACTCCGTGTGCCGAGCCTGCTACTTCCGCAAGCGGCCCCAGCAGCCTGGGCTGGAGAACAAGGAGAATGTGCCCCTGGGGTTGAGGCAGCAAGAGGCAGCTGCCATTCGGAAGATCTTCACTTGACTGCTGGGAAAATGGAGGGGAAGAGAACTCAGTGCCAGGGCTTATGGGCTCAGGATCTGCTTCCCCCTGCTTTTAGTGAACTGTTCAGTGCCTCAGCCCTCCCTGCCCAACCTCCACTGCCCCCCCACACTGAGCACCACAGCCAAGGAGGATCCACCAGGCCTGATGCTGGGGAGAGCTGAAGCGAGAGCCTGGTGAGAGTGAGTTCCAGTCTCAGAACACAGAGAGAGATGGGTGTAGTTAGCGATGTTGCCACACACAGGCCCTGGCTCAGTCCATGGCGAGCTAGGCTGCAGGGCTCTGGTTGCTCGCCGTGGCTCTGGCCGGCTCTCCCGCTGCTCTGTGTGTGCTCAGGCTGGCACTGGTGCTGGTTCTGGTGCCTGTGAATGCAGCTCTTCTCTCTTGTGCACTCTTGCTAAATTCCAGGTTTCTCAAGACAATGTACAGTCATTGAGACTGTACAGCATTTTGAACCCACTTCCTTTTTTAACAGTCTGAGGTAATTTGTCCCTTGTCACAGAGCTGTGGCACAACTTTTAAACTGACACATGCGACAGCCCAGCCCTGGGCAGGGCCTTGGCCTTTCCATTTGCTGACACTCTCACTTTTATTACTGTTTTGTCAATTCTTGTTGAAACAGAAGAGGGGAAAGGAAGGCCCAACTCAGCCTGGCAGCAGGCTCTTCTGAGCCATTGAACTTCAAAGGGCTGGCTGTGGTCTAGCAGGCTGTGACAGAGTCCTTTGGAAGAACTGGTCCCAGGAAGAGCCTCCTCGAAATTTGGGGCAGTTTTTCTCAGGTTCAAGATTGGTGCTGCCATTTTGGTGCTGCATTACCTGTGAGGGGTTTAGAGGCTCAGGGTTTCATCTACCCAGATTTCGGCAACTTGCTCCCTCCTGAGCCTTCTAAAATTCTCGAGGCTGACTGTTCCTCTGCTCTAAGCTGACTGAAGGATCCTCTTCCCCCTTTGCTTGGTTCAGCTTCTGGAAGGTTGTTGGCTTTGTTCCTTACTCCTTGCAAAAGTGCTTTTCCCTGGAAGAGATCCACAGGCTCCAAGCAATAGCTCTTGATTCTGGCCAGGCCAGATCTCCACGTGTGAGCGCAGGGTCACTGTTTGCCTGTGCCCTGGAAGGCTCCAAGAGCCACATGAACTCCCCCTGTTCCTCCCATGTTACCAGTGGGCACAACTGTACTCACAAGTACTCAAGTGCCAGGCCTGGGCTTTTATCTTGGAGCTAGGGAAGTCACTGCTGCTGCTCTTTTAGGTTAATAAATAACTTAATGAACCTCTGTGTGCGTTTTCTACCAGAGTGCTCTGCAGAAGCTTCCTGGCTGTGGCCAGTGAGGCAGCCTGGGCTGGTCACTGGAGTGGTCACAGGGCAGGAGGGCCGCTTGCAGGGCTGGCACTGGAGCTCTGCTCGGATCGAGGAGCAGGAGGAGGGTGGCCTAAAAATAGCCACCAGCGTGAGTGTGCTGTTTGCAGCACAGCAGTTGGCAGGGGCTGTGCTGCCACTGCCTCGCCTGGCACCCCCCAGCCCTCGGGGGGAGAGGGCAGTAGCCCCTTCTCCTCCAGAGACAAAAGGCACATGGTGGCTCGGTGAAAAAGTTTATTCAAACCTTACAGTGACAACTACTTGAACACCAGCCCCAGCAGCAACAGCCCGCACCAGGCCACCAGGAACAGCTTCACCATAGCACAGCAGCGAACACAACCTGAGAGCGGCCCTGCGGCACCCAGGGCAGCCGGAGTGCAGGTGGGAGCCGTGGGCAGGGCACGGCAGCACAGCCTCGTGCTGGCAGAGGCAGCGCTCATGGGGGAGGCAAGCAAGGGACAGAAAGCGCTCCAGGACCTTCCTCAGCTGGAGCAGCCCTGGCCCTCCTGAGGGATCCCAGCGCTCACCGCTCCCACGGATCCCAAACCGCGGGAGCACTGGCAGCTCTAGTGCAGGTTGGGAGAAGGCACAGCACGGCATCACAGGAAGACAAGGGGGGCTTTGGCAACAGCTCACCCAGCAGCAGCCGAGCAGGGAAGGCACAGAAAGCTGGCACAGGCAGGAGCCGGGCCCGGCTGTGTTACGGCAGCAAGAGACGGCACTTGGGAGGATGCAGCCAGCAGGGCTGAAAGGCACTGGGGCCAGGACAGGCCAGGGCAGCAGTCACAGGGGCAGAGCCGGGGCAGGGTCAGGGGGGTGTGAACCACACACTCCACCAAGGCACCACAGCGAGGGCAGAGGCTCAGCTGTGCCAGGGCTGCCCGCACACCCACCCTCCCACAGCCACAGGGCTCACCCAGCAGCTGCAAATCACCACCGTGCGCCGAATCACCCACCACACACGGGGCTCTCAACCCCTCATCAGGGAGCTTGGCTCCAGCATCAGGACCAGGCCCCTCCTGTGCCCCATGCCAAGGCCCGGTCACCTTCACACAAAGCAGCCGTCACCCTCCCACCCCTCCAAGTCGCAGGCCCCTCCCTCCCACCCCACAGAAGGAATTGCACTGGTACAGCCACCCGCAGGCACCAGCCAGGGCTCAGTACACCGGGGGGGGCTGGTACCCCTCCGGGGCCTCTGCCGTGTGGGTGAAGGGCGGCTGCTGGTAGCTGTCATGGCTGATGTTGGGGTAGCTGGAGTAGGGAGTCGAAACCTCTGGGGTGGGGTCGACATAGCTTTGAGCAAAGTCCTCCACCCCCATTTTGTACCTCTTGTAAGCGAAGGTCAGCAGGAGGCCCTGCAGAGAGGAGGGGGTGGCAGCGTTAGGGCTGTCCTGCGCTGTGCAGTATAGGGGGCCCCTCCACACTCCCCCCAAGCAGGGCAGGGTGGTTCACTCACCCAGGAGAAGATGGAGAAGAAACTGAAGGTGATGGCAGCACGGGCAGAGTCTGCCACGATGTACACGTGCTCAGTCCGTGTCCAGGACCACTGGTTGGTCAAGAAGCAGAACCCGATGAACCACAGGAAAGTCCAGAGACCTGTGGGGGCAAGTAGCATGAAGACCCTGCTCCACCGTGTGGGCTGGCACAGGCACCCGGCCGGGGGCAGTCACTCCTCAGGACGCCCAGCAGCAGCAGCAGCTCGTGGCCGATGGGCAGCGTGCCAGGCGGGAGCGACTCCCTTTGCCAGGCACCGGCAGCCACGTCACGGGACAAGGCAGCCATTGTGCCAGCGGCGGGAGGCACAGCCCTGCCCCGCGCCCACGGTACCTGAGAAGCCGAGGTCGGCCAGGACCAAGTACTTGCGGTCGGTGGCGTTGCTGATCTGGGGGAAGTAGACGTCCACCATGAAGAAGAAGATGCAGGCGAGGAAGGCGAGGACGCCGATGCCGATGCCGTAGCGACAGGCGTCCTCATTGTGGTTGAAGACGCAGAAGAGACGGGGGTCCTCGGACACGCTGATGTAGCCATCCCCGACCAGGCAGGCGAACACGATCAGGGCGAAGATCTGTGAGGCGGAGCCGGTGTCCAGTGGGCGGCACCGAGACGGGGAGGCCCTTCGGGGGCAGCCCGTGCCCGACGGGCCGGGGACACCGGCCAGGGCGGAGGGGAGGCGGGCCCGGACGGGCTCCAGGGGAGGGCCCGTCCCGTCCGCGGCCCGTCCCGACGGGGCTCTCCCGCCCCGTCCCGTCCCGACTCACCGCACTGACGATCCGCGCCAGCACCTGCGGCTGCTGTACGAAACGGACCAGGTCGAAGGCGCCGCCAGCCTTCGCCGCTCCGTAGGCGCCGCTGCCGCCGCCCTCCATCGCGTTCGGCCGCCGCTCCTGTGCGGCACCGCCCCGGGAGGGCCGGGCCGGGCGGTCCCGTGGCGCTGGGGCGGGGCGGGCTCGGGCCGGCGGGACCGGGGCTCCCCCGCCCGGACACAGAGGGCCGCGCTCGTCCCGCGCTGCACCCCGGTGCCCCGCTCCGTCCCTGCCTCCGCCCCGGTGTAACGGGGACGGGCAGCACCGCCCCCACGGCCCGGCCGGCGGCGGGTCCCGGTGAGCGCGGCCGAGGGGAAACAGGGGCTTTGGGGGGCTCCCGCCGCCCCCGCCCGGTACCGGGAGACGGCAGGAACGGCGGGGCGGGCAGGGCTCGGTGCTCCCCGCCCTCCCCGCGGATCCGCACCCACACCGGCCCACGGCCCCGGCGGAGGCGGCGGGAGCCCCGAGGGGCGTCCCGTCGGTTCCCGGTATCGGGGCGGGAGGGAGCTGCCGCGGGGCTCCGGAGCCGCCGTCTGCCCCGAGCAGCCTTAGCCCGCTCCGGGGGCAGAGGGGGCTGCGGAGCCCGAGGGTTGGTGGAGGAGGGGAGGAAGGAGACGACGCTGGGCACCGCCGGGAGCGGGCGGGGGGACACGGCGGCGGGGCATGGGGGAGTGTGTGCTCCCATGTGTCCTCTTGGGGCCGGTTCGGACCCCTCCCGAGCCGTGCGCTGGGGCTGGTGCTTGGAGGCTCCGTCCCTGCCCCCGAGGGTCCCGGGACGGCGAGCGGGCTCCTCCCGCGCGGGACCCGCTCGGCGGCGGCACCGCCCCATCCGCCCGTTCTTCCTTCCTGCCGGGTTGGCCCCGGGGTTAGTCCCGGGTTTAGGCCCGCAGACCGCGCGCTCCCGCCTGCCCCGGATCCCGCACGCAGTGGCTGCGGTTCCACCCTCGTCCAGCGGGCCGGCAGCGCGCGGGGGAACCGGGGGCCGGGGCCGCTGACGCCCGTCCGCTCGCCGCGGCAGGGCCCGTGTCGGAGGGACCTGCTCGGCCCCGCAGGATGTCCCAGCCGCCCTCTATCACCCTCCACGTCCCCGAGGGCACCGAGAGCGATGGGTGAGTGTGACCCTCCCGCTGCCCCGCCATGCCCCGGCTCTTGCACCCCAGTGGCATGAGGTCCCTGTGTCCCTGCAGCCAGGAGCCGAGCCCGGACAACGAGAGAGCCCTGCACACCTCCTTCCACCAGCTTATCCTGGAGCAGAGCAGCTTGATCGAGGCAGGTCTGGAGCTGGAGATGAAGGAGAGGGACAGAGGTAAAAGCACTGCAGCCGGGGTAAGCCGAGGGCAATGTGTGTGCCCAGGGCCATCCACCCACCCTGACCCTGCTTGGGCCGGCTGGGGTACACGGCATGGCTGCTGATGCCTTGGCTGGTGCAGGGCAGAGCAGGGCAGACCAGCTCTTGGGGACATAAAGAGTGTCCCTGGAGTAGGGGGTACTGTGGGGGAAGCACACACCAGGACACACACCTGGCCTCTGTGCTGGATCAGAGCAGTGGGGAAACAGGGATGAGCCTTGGGCGCTCTGCATCCTGCCTTCCCCCTCCTAGAGTCCCCTCTGGATCCCCTTCCCCACCCACGACGTGGGGCGGCCCAGTTCTAGTTCCATTTCCATCTGAGGAACCATTC